GAGGCGGGCTCGGGGGCGATGGGGTTGTGCCGCGGAGGCGGGTTCGTGGGCCCTGCCCGGCCCTGCCCTGCCCTGCCCTGCCCTGCCTGCACACATGCCGCTTGTGCTGGGCCGGGCCGGACCGGTCCCCGGGGCGCTGCTCCGCCAGACGGGCAGGTGCGAGGAGCCTGTTGCTGCTCGGTCCCTTCCTGCGCCTCGCGCCGGCACGTGTGAAGCGGGGCCCGGCGGCCGCTGCCTTCGTCTGCACCGTGGTGTTTCCCGCGGGGGACGCGGTTGAGACCGAGGCTGTGACTGGAGGTGTCTCCGGCCGAACCGGAAGTGGTGGCCTGCTGGGGAAATCCAGTAAAGGCACCAGTCCATCTCTCCGGTGGCGCTGGTTACTGTCGGGTTGGCTTTTGACCCGCGGCGTCTGTTGGAGCCCCTGTTTCAAGAAATGTGCTTGCACCGGATCTGCCGCAAGTGCGGGGAGGGCACGAGAGGAGGGGTAGGGGTGGGAGAGAGATCCCACATCTAATCTGGCCCTAGTCTGGTTTCAGTGGCTTCCTGTGTTCGCACATCAACTTCATCAGTCTGTTTGTTGTTGCATTAATGAATGTGTCAGTGAAATGCTTGCTGGAGCGGTGATACAAGAAGCGCACTATGCAAATCACGCATGAATGCATATGACTGTCTGAGCGGATGGAGTAACCGTCTGTATTTTGTTTACATCTCAGTCCCTTGATTGCATTCTAAATTTTAATATTTTATGGTAGTGTTTCCTCGAACATGCCCTCCAACTACAAGTGAACACTGGAAAGAGGTTTTATGGTTCTGTGAGTGATTTAGAGGAAAGGAATTCAGTTGCTAGATTGCAATCTCCTCGCAGGGATGGACAGAGTCGACAGCTATGATCGCTCGTCTCGTCACTGTCACTTGCTCGCTTACTGGCAGTTTTGTGTGCCCAGAAGCTGGGGGATGTGGGAGTGGGGCCAACTCAGAGTGCTAATTTTATTAATTTGAAATTTGGAGAGACCTGAGCAAGTCTGTGTTCCTTTTCTTTCTTCTCTTTTAAAATCAATTAAAAAAAAATTCTTATAAAATCAATTTCATTAGACTTATGTACTTCTGTATGTAGTTACTCTTATTTAGGTTTGAGTGCCTTATTTTGGTTTAGGTTAACTCGGTTGCACGTGATTAAACCACACTAAAATAAGTTACTCTTAAACAGTGTAAAGTGCCTGAATACAAAGAATCATCTTTTTAAAGCAACCTAGTTAAACCAGTACAAGCTGAGATGAGGCTCTAGATTGTTTGTTTATGAATGAGCCTCTTCTGGCTTACTGAGAGTCTGAGAATGAGGGAAGTGTCAAAACAAAGGTATTGTTTCATTAAACCTGCTGAAATCTTTTCAAGAGTGGTATTAGACTTTGGACCCGAGGCTGCTGGAAAAGAAGTAGGAGAGGGCTTTCTTTACGTCTTCTAAGGTATAATACCTACTCAGCAGTGCTTCCTTGTAAAACTTAATGTTAATTTATGGTCTCTTAAAAGAAATGTTTCCCTTGACAGTGGGTAACCTAAAAATTCTGCACGTGAGCTTTAAATGTTCTGTATTACTTTGTTTATGTGTGATGCACGTTTACCTGTATTCAGAGACAACCGTAACGGGGCCCAGGGGAAATCAGCCTGTGCAGGGCCTGGACACGGTGGTGGTGAGTGGCTGGCCATGAAGTCGGTCCAGCTCCTCGGGGCCTCTCAAAGCATGGGGCCCAGGGCAGTTGCCCTGATTCAGCCCCACTCCTCCCCAAGATAGCTCTGTCTGTATTTCCTTTTTATGCTAGTATGTAGGCCTTGCAGATTGTCTAGTTGTTCCTTTGGTCAGGTAAAGCTGGAAAGCCAGAGAGGAACTAAAATAAAATGAACCACATCTGAGAGGTTGGCATCTGTTAAAAATTTACATCCGGACTGGGCTCAAATTGTTAGTGGTGAGTTTTTCTCTTGTCTTTTTGTGATCATGATTGGATCCGTTCTTTATTAATGAGGTCTTCAGATTTTAAAGCCTGCAGTTACTTAACTGAGGTAATCATTCCATGTAACTTTTTTCATGTGAGATTCTTGAAGTACTTACTTCAGTAGGTATTTTTGCTTTACATTTGACAGGCTAGGTGAAATTGTGACACAGCAAGGTTGCTAGAATAATTCTGATGTATCACTTGGACCAGTGTCAGAAACTGGAATAAAACCCAGCATTTCTGCCTCCAGTCATCTCTCTTCTCTTCTAACCTGGTGGCACATATGCTAAGGGACACAGTTTATAGCCTAGAGGTTGCAAATTCAAGGCCATAGCATAAGCACTCACAGTGAAGTAAAAATTTGTTGCATTTTGGAAAGGTGTGATTAAGGCACATTGGCTATGAAATTACTTGATGTTGAACATATTGCCTTGTACTGTGGCTGGGAAAGGATAAACTCTAAGAGTCCCTATTGTCTCTTAAAGCACCTTGTTTGATCCTGATATGATTTGTTTATAAAACTACATTAGTGGCCCAGTCTGTCATGGGACTCATTAATTGATGCAATCCTTGTCTCTCTGGATGGAAGAGTCAGTGTTACTTGGACTACAGCAGGGATATTTAACATAGATGCTTATGATGGTGAAGGAGAGCTGCTGTTCCCCTTTTCTTTAAGAAATGTGAAACACAGTTAGGAAGCTTGTATCAGCATGCTTCATAACTGATTCCCAGTATTTATTCTCTCTTCTTTCACTCATTTACATCTCTTCAAAGCAGGAACTGCAAGGTCTATTGAACTTCTCAATTGTGAAATAACATTAAAATGACATTAAATGCTTTTTCTTTGGTAGAACAATTTATAGTTTTCTTTATAGGCTCTTCTGTAAAATTGGTTTGTAAAAACCAGACTTTCAGATAAATGCCTAGTAGCCTTAACGAAAAAATACAGGTTTACTTTGTCTCCAGTGGCTTCTTAATCTTGCCATCTCTCTAAATTTTTTATAAGAAATTTAGCTGTTTATGTAACTTTAGAAACAGGTTAGATGACAGACTGGTCAGATTAAAAAAAAATTTAAAAAAGGACAGAATATTCCTAGTAGAAATATTGATACTGGGGTAAATGTAAGAATGTTGGCAGCTGGCACTTGAGGTAAGATATTCATTAAACATATCATGGTCCAAATATCAAAAATTGGTAAGGGAAGTATGGGCTGGGAAGTAGAAGAACAAAGATGTAAATGATTTCCATCTCCCCCCTCCCCCTTTATTAAAAATACATTGGACACAGTTCATAGATTTCATAGACATTAGGGCTGGAAGGGACCTTGGAAGATCATGGAGTCCAGCCCCTTGCCCCAGGGGCAGGAAGTCAGCTGAGGTCATAGGATCCCAGCAAGATAAGCATCCAAATTTCCATCGAAGGTGTTCGATGTAGGTGCTTGAACCACCTCCGATGGCAGGCTGTTCCAGACCTTGGGGGTTTGGACAGTAAAGAAAT